CATCATTAGAATGCAAGAAATTACTTTCAACCTTCTAATTTTCATTTTGGTGTTTTAGCATACATCAAAAGAAGAGCTGAAAGATTGGCTAGAGAAAAGAAATAAGATGGCCAACCGCTAATTGAATTTGACCTTTTAAATCTACAGTATCATGTGACCATAATTATTGCCTTGATAAGCTTTCACAGAATCAAAACTAGAAGGATATGATCTGCCGAAGTTTGTATTTTGGAGAATCGAGTACAAAGTGGTTCCAATTCCATTTTGCATTTTGTCAGCAGGCTCGCTTAATAACTAAAGAAATGTCATTTATATGGCCAGAACAGGGCAATGAAATTTCATTGCCATCTGTGTAAGCTCTCTAGAGTAAAAATACACATTCAGAACTCACTTCATTCAAGTGGCAATATATTTAGATAGACGGCATAAGTGAGATGTGCCCTATGGGGAATGCCATTTTCTTTGGCTCTGTGACTTAGGAAAAAGGCCTGTAAATGCATTTCAGATGGAGACCCAATACAACATGACATACATCCATTCAACTCTGCCTTAACCCAAAGATGTGCACATTTACTTTTCAAAATTGTACACTCTGAGTAGAGACTATTCCCCAAAGTATAGGGAAGGAAAAGAAGAACTGAAATTAGTACTCAGGCATTATTTGCTACAAAATTCTGGACAAATTATTTCTGATATGTTAAACTACAACTCCTATTATTCTCAGCCACCACGTCCAGGGATGATGAAAGGAGTACGTAGTCCAATACATCTGGAAGTCACCTGATTGGATTATATGGCTTTTATTTGCAAAACCAAATTGGACAGGCTTTTCCCAGACATTTGTTTTGTACTGCAAATAAGTTGTTATCCCTTTGAGGTAGACCATGTCAAAAAACAACAACAACAGATTACTGCACTTAGGAATCTTGGAAGGCACTTTATCGCAGTTAGATGATTGTAACAGAATCTTGAATGCCTGTCAAAGCTCTTATTAATTAATTAATTAATTAATCGGAATAGAGCTGGAAGGGACCTTGGAGGTCTTCTAGTCCAGCCCCCCTGCTCAAGCAAGAGACCCTATACCATTTCAGACAAGTGGCTGTCCAATCTCTTCTTAAAAAACCCTAGTGATGAAGCGGCCCACAACATCTGAAGGCAAGCTGTCTGAAGTAAAGCTCTCCTTTACAATCAAAGTGGTGAAATTTTCATACGTTCTACTTTTTCCAGAACACAAGTATTTTTTCTATAATAGTTTGTTATTTGCGTCCTCCTTTCCTGAATCAAATGCGTGTTCTTTCACACGTGGGGAGAAATAAATCTTGCCTAAAGGCACATAACACTCTTGTGTGTAAAAGATGCACAGGTAAAGAGTTAGGGTACTGATAAGAAATGGGAGGGGAAGGTGGGGGAATGTAAATGGCCTCTGCTGGAAAGATGTGGTCCTTTTGTTGATTGCCAGCATTTCTTTGGTTTTTAACTATAACCAGATTAATGTCACAGGAAGTAAACAAAATTGAGCCAAGTTTTAAATGTTTCATCCAGTGAAAGAACAAAGTTGCAAATCATAAAGTTGGCTCCTTTCAACAACGTATTGTTAAAATTAGCCAGGAGATGGAATGCTAAGTTGTAGTTGACTGAAAGTAGAAATGAAAAGTTCTAACATCTTTGTGACTGGACCAGACAAAGGGACTGCAGGGAAAGTATACAAAAACGAGCCCTCTCTTGATACAATAAACGATAATTTACTGTTCCATCTGATCAGAGTCAGACAATGGGAAAATGAGTTTGGTGTAGCAGCTAAGGTGCTGGCCTAGAAATCAGGAGAATGTGAATTCTAGGGCTGCCTTAGGCATGAAAGCTGACTGGGTGGATTAGGCCGGTCCTTCTCTCTCAACTCAACTTACCTCACAGGGTTGTTGTGGGGAAAATAGGAGGAGGAGAATTTGCTTTCTCTCTCCCACTTAAATTGAGCCCACACACATCCTATGTCACCATGCTCATGAATCATGATGTATTTTATTTATTATTAACATTTATTATAGAAAAGTAGAGATCTAGCAATCTATGGAATTGCAGGAGTCTGATATTTACTCAAGGGCTCTATTTGAAACTTTGATATCTGAAAGCTACTTATTAAAAACAATAGGATGAAATCAGAACAAAAGGATACAGGTTGAATGTCAGAGTTTAGATTTGCTTTTGTGGAACAAATGAATGTGAGAATGTATTTAATATCTTGCTATTTGGGACAGTGTCCCAGGTAGTATAACGATAATAAAATTTACATTCAGGCAACAGGCTGGGGAGGAATCTAAAAACGTGAGAAAAAGAAGACTTTGGTGCGGTTCATTTTGCATCGATTCAGCTTTGAACTATTCTTAGAGAGAGTTTTCTCAGTATAATTCTAGATCAGCTTTGAACTCTGCTCACTGAAGGCCAAAAATAGAAGAGCAGAGAAGGATTGTTTCCATAGCCCAACCTGCATTACACTCTTTGCAGGAGGAAGATACGTTCCTACCCAATGACTCATGAAACCTCTTTTGGGGTGAAATGGAGGATAAATGCCTCCTGTGTGCTTTCCTCTAATCAACAACCTGATTCATTACACCAGACATGGCTCAAAATACATTAGGGAGTGGAGGTCTTAAATAAAAGGAGTAAATACAATATTTTGGTGAAATATTTCTGGCGAAGCTTGTACCTGCACTTTCATTAATATAAATCCCTGTCATCCATGTTTTATAAGTCACTGAGAAATTAAATTCATATCCAGAGCCAAGAGAGAGAATTTGCTTTTCCCTCCACCAAATAAAAGCAGGGGTGAAACATTTCGTCCCTTTTGGTATTCTAGAGATAGAAGTGTACATTGTCTCTTCTTCTGCCTTAACTGTCCTT